TGGAACCCCCAGTGACCTCTTGTGGAACCCCCAGTGACCTCTTGTGGAACCCCCAGTGACCTCTTGCGGAACCCCCAGTGACCTCTTGCGGAACCCCCAGTGACCTCTTGTGGAACCCCCAGTGACCTCTCGTGGAACCCCCAGTGACCTCTTATGGAACCCCCAGTGACCTCTTGTGGAACCCCCAGTGACCTCTTGTGGAACTCCCAGTGACCTCTTGTGGAACCCCCAGTGACCTCTTATGGAACCCCCAGTGACCTCTTGTGGAACCCCTAGTGACCTCTTGCGGAACACCCAGTGACCTCTTGTGGAACCCCCAGTGACCTCTTGTGGAACCCCCAGTGACCTCTTGTGGAACCCCCAGTGACCTCTTGTGGAACCCCCAGTGACCTCTTGTGGAACCTCCAATGACCTCTTGTGGAACCCCCAGTGACGTCTTGCGGAACCCCCTGTGACCTCTTGTGGAACCCTCAGTGACCTCTTGCGAAACCCCCAGTGACCTCTTGTGGAACCCCCAGAGACCTCATGTGGAACCCCCAGTGAGAAACGCTTGTTTATAGCGATGTATTGATGCTACCACTGTTGATGTTGGTCATTCAGTTTAGTTTTTGTGTCACCAAGGGGAGGCTAGTTGTGGTACCGTCAAGGGGGAGGCTAGTTGTGGTACCATCAAGGGGAGGCTAGTTGTGGTACCATCAAGGGGAGGCTAGTTGTGGTACCATCAAGGGGAGGCTAGTTGTGGTACCATCAAGGGGAGGCTAGTTGTGGTACCATCAAGGGGGAGGCTAGTTGTGGTACCATCAAGGGGAGGCTAGTTGTGGTACCATCAAGGGGGAGGCTAGTTGTGGTACCATCAAGGGGAGGCTAGTTGTGGTACCATCAAGGGGGAGGCTAGTTGTGGTACCATCAAGGGGAGGCTAGTTGTGGTACCATCAAGGGGAGGCTAGTTGTGGTACCGTCAAGGGGGAGGCTAGTTGTGGTACCATCAAGGGGGAGGCTAGTTGTGGTACCATCAAGGGGAGGCTAGTTGTGGTACCATCAAGGGGAGGCTAGTTGTGGTACCGTCAAGGGGGAGGCTAGTTGTGGTACCTTCAAGGGGGAGGCTAGTTGTGGTACCATCAAGGGGAGGCTAGTTGTGGTACCATCAAGGGGGAGGCTAGTTGTAGTACCATCAAGGGGAGGCTAGTTGTGGTACCATCAAGGGGGAGGCTAGTTAGGGTACCGTCAAGGGGAGGCTAGTTAGGGTACCATCAAGGGGAGGCTAGTTAGGGTACCGTCAAGGGGAGGCTAGTTAGGGTACCATCAAGGGGAGGCTAGTTAGGGTACCATCAAGAGAAGATTAAAGTTACAGTTACAGTCGCCGATTATGATATTACTGATACGGATGCTACAGTGTAAAGGTTATTGTGACAGGTATTACGACTCTGCTCATAGCCGAGGGCAGGTTAACTCAGCTGTGGACAGTTTCACCCAGCTGTGGACAGTTTCACCCAGCTGTGGACAGTTTCACCCAGCTGTAGACAGTTTCACACAGCTGTGGACAGTTTCATCCAGCTGTGGACAGTTTCACCCAGCTGTGGACAGTTTCACCCAGCTGTAGACAGTTTCTCCCAGCTGTGGACAGTTTCACCCAGCTGTGGACAGTTTCACCCAGCTGTGGACAGTTTCACCCAGCTGTAGACAGTTTCTCCCAGCTGTGGACAGTTTCACCCAGCTGTGGACAGTTTCACCCAGCTGTGGACAGTTTCACCCAGCTGTAGACAGTTTCTCCCAGCTGTGGACAGTTTCACCCAGCTGTGGACAGTTTCACACAGCTGTGGACAGTTTCACACAGCTGTGGACAGTTTCACCCAGCTGTGGACAGTTTCACCCAGCTGTGGACAGTTTCACACAGCTGTGGACAGTTTCACCCAGCTGTGGACAGTTTCACCCAGCTGTGGACAGTTTCACTCAACTGAGGATAGTTTCATTCAGCTGAGGACAGTGTTATACAGCCGATTACTGTGTCATTCTGACGAGAACATTCTAACCCTTCAGGCATGCTCTCAGGCTTAGTCCTAAAGGTTTCATTATCAGGAGCCATCCTCAGACTTCCCTCTTCAGGCATAAACCTCAAGTTTCTACCGACTAGCAATCCCCTCAAGCTTTCCCCTCAGGCGTCTCTTCCTCAATCTTACACCCTCCTCAGGCTTCCCCCTCCTCAGGCTTCCCCCTCCTCAGGCTTCCCCCCTCCTCTGGCTTCCCCTCCTCAGACTTTCCCCTCAGGTTCCTCATCAAGTTGGTCATCATCATCGTCGGCCTCCAGCATGCAGAGTGGGCTGCGTTCCTCCTGGCAACTCTGGTCGGTCATGTAGTAGTAGTGTTCGTAGGTCAAGGCGGAGCACCTGAGGACATCCCAAGGAACACCGTCAACCTTTTCTTCTCACACATACAATTGGATCATATCAACAAATGCATAAATTCAATACACAAACCTATGAATATAAATGAACACATGAAAGAACATAAGAAAAATAAGAAAACAGGAAACAGTAGAAGGTCAATATAGGCCCATGCGAGACAACGTGAGGCAATCCAGAAATCACAAGTCATATATACGTATTTATGGATAATATCATGGGAGAGGGTCGGGGTTGGCCCCCATCCTACCCCTTCATAATGCCAGGGGACATGGAATGGTTGGTCCCGAGACCATTGTTTTAACTCTTATTGAAATATCATCAGAGAGTTGAATGCTCTAACCTTAACAAAAGTGATCTCACTTACCACTTACCTCTAGCTCCTTAGGGACTCTTATTTCACCTCTTTTTCTTCGTCATAAGACCTTCTAGTTATCTTTATTATTGATAATATTCCTATTAACTCTTTTCTTATATGTCAACCTTTTCGCCTTTCACATCCTATTCTTACCTTATGAATTGACTTGCTCTTCTACCCTTCATAATGGTCCGAAATGTAGTCGCCTCCTTTATTTTCACATGTGTGAGTTTAGTGTTTAAACTTTATGTATGTTTTGTAACGATATTGTTTAATATAACCTTTTTATTAAGTTGCTAACGGAATACAATTTAATTTTATAGTTCTTCATTTAATTTACAATTTATAATAAAACAAGTTTCAATAGAATAACATTGATTGCCCTGTTTTATAATTTAATGTGAAACTTGGCCTTGCTATTTTGAACACAACTTAATCGGTGGTCGTATCTTTGACAGACACACGAAGTTGTTGTTTTACAGACATCAGCCTAATTCTCTGTTTGGTTTTATATTAAGCACGAAAATTCTTGCTCACACGAACAGCGTTGGGAATTCTAGCATTATGTTTACAGCATTTACTTAATAAGCAAGAATACAGCAATAACTTAATACTGTACTCGTGTACTGTAATGTGTTAACCTGCAAATTTTAAAAGCCTTACCTTGAGGTTACCTTGAGGTGCTTCCGGGGCTTAGTGTCCCCGCGGCCCGGTCGTCGACCAGGCCTCCTGGTTGATATGACAGAAACAAAAGAAGCAGCAGTAGCGGGAGTGCCGCAACATTCATTACTCACAACTGAATTCCTTACTGCTACAACAATTCCTTTCCGCTACAACAATTCCTTTCTGCTACAACAACTCCTTTTCGCTACGACAATTCCTTTCCGCTACAACAATTCCTTTCCGCTACAACAATTCCTTTCCACTACAACAATTCCTTACCGCTACAACAATTCCTTTCTGCTACAACAATTCCTTTACGCTACGACAATTCCTTTCCGCTACAACAATTCCTTTCCACTACAACAATTCCTTTCCACTACAACAATTCCTTTCCGCTACAACAATTCCTTTCGGCTACAACAATTCCTTTCCACTACAACAATTCCTTTCCGCTACAACAATTCCTTTCGGCTACAACAATTCCTTTCCACTACAACAATTCCTTTCCGCTACAACAATTCCTTTCCGTACAACAATTCCTTTCCACTACAACAATTCCTTACCGCTACAACAATTCCTTTCTGCTACAACAATTCCTTCCCACTACAACAATTCCTTTCCACTACAACAATTCCTTACCGCTACAACAATTCCTTACCACTACAACAATTCCTTACCGCTACAACAATTCCTTACCGCTACAACAATTCCTTACCACTACAACAATTCCTTACCGCTACAACAATTTCTTACCGCTATAAAAATTCCTTACCACTGCAACAATTCCTTACCGCTATAACAATTCCTTACCGCTACAACAATTCCTTACCGCTACAACAATTCCTTACCACTACAACAATTCCTTACCGTTACAACAATTCCTTACCGCTACAACAATTCCTTACCGCTACAACAATTCCTTACCACTACAACAATTCCTTACCGCTACAACAATTCCTTACCACTACAACAATTCCTTACCGCTACAACAATTCCTTACCACTACAACAATTCCTTACCGCTACAACAATTCCTTACCGCTACAACAATTCCTTACCGCTACAACACTTCCTTACCATTACAACAATTCCTTTCCACTACAACAATTCCTTACCACTACAACAATTCCTTACCACTACAACAATTCCTTACCGCTACAACAATTCCTTACAACTACAACAATTCCTTACCGCTACAACAATTCCTTTCCACTACAACAATTCCTTACCGCTACAACAATTCCTTACCACTACAACAATTCCTTACCGTTACAACAATTCCTTACCGCTACAACAATTCCTTACCGCTACAACAATTCCTTACCACTACAACAATTCCTTACCGCTACAACAATTCCTTACCACTACAACAATTCCTTACCACTACAACAATTCCTTACCACTACAACAATTCCTTACCGCTATAACAATTCCTTACCACTATAACAATTCCTAACCTCTACAACAATTCCTTACCGCTATAACAATTCCTTACCGCTATAACAATTCCTTACCGCTATAACAATTCCTAACCTCTACAACAATTCCTTACCGCTATAACAATTCCTTACCGCTAAAACAATTCCTTACCGCTATAACAATTCCTTACCGCTACAGCAATTCCTTACCACTACAACAATTCCTTACCGCTATAACAATTCCTTACCGCTATAACAATTCCTTACCGCTACAACAATTCCTTACTACTATAACAATTCCTTACCGCTACAACAATTCCTTACCGCTACAACAATTCCTTACCGCTACAACAATTCCTTACCGCTATAACAATTCCTTACCGCTACAACAATTCCTTACCGCTATAACAATTCCTTACTGCTACAACAATTCCTTACCACTACAACAATTCCTTACCACTACAACAATTCCTTACCACTACAACAATTCCTTACCGCTATAACAATTCCTTACCACTATAACAATTCCTAACCTCTACAACAATTCCTTACCGCTATAACAATTCCTTACCGCTATAACAATTCCTTACCGCTATAACAATTCCTAACCTCTACAACAATTCCTTACCGCTATAACAATTCCTTACCGCTAAAACAATTCCTTACCGCTATAACAATTCCTTACCGCTACAGCAATTCCTTACCACTACAACAATTCCTTACCGCTATAACAATTCCTTACCGCTATAACAATTCCTTACCGCTACAACAATTCCTTACCGCTACAACAATTCCTTACCGCTACAACAATTCCTTACCGCTACAACAATTCCTTACCGCTACAACAATTCCTTACCGCTACAACAATTCCTTACCGCTACAACAATTCCTTACCGCTATAACAATTCCTTACCGCTACAACAATTCCTTACCGCTATAACAATTCCTTACCGCTACAACAATTCCTTACCGCTACAACAATTCCTTACCGCTACAACAATTCCTTACCGCTATAACAATTCCTTACCACTACAACAATTCCTTACCGCTACAACAATTCCTTACCACTACAACAATTCCTTACCGCTACAACAATTCCTTACCACTACAACAATTCCTTACCGCTACAACAATTCCTTACCACTACAACAATTCCTTACCGTTATAACAATTCCTTACCGCTACAACAATTCCTTACCGCTACAACAATTCCTTACCACTACAACAATTCCTTACCGCTACAACAATTCCTTACCTCTACAACAATTCCTTACCACTACAAGAATTCCTTACCACTACAACAATTCCTTACCACTACAACAATTCCTTACCGCTATAACAATTCCTTACCGCTATAACAATTCCTAACCTCTACAACAATTCCTTACCGCTATAACAATTCCTTACCGCTATAACAATTCCTTACCGCTATAACAATTCCTTACTGCTACAGCAATTCCTTACCACTACAACAATTCCTTACCGCTATAACAATTCCTTACCGCTATAACAATTCCTTACCGCTACAACAATTCCTTACCGCTATAACAATTCCTTACCGCTACAACAATTCCTTACCGCTACAACAATTCCTTACCGCTACAACAATTCCTTACCGCTACAACAATTCCTTACCGCTACAACAATTCCTTACCGCTACAACAATTCCTTACCGCTACAACAATTCCTTACCACTACAACAATTCCTTACCGCTACAACAATTCCTTAACGCTACAACAATTCCTTACCGCTACAACAATTCCTTAACGCTACAACAATTCCTTACCGCTATAACAATTCCTTACCGCTACAACAATTCCTTACCGCTATAACAATTCCTTACCGCTACAACAATTCCTTACAGCTACAAAAATTCCTTACCGCTACAACAATTCCTTACCGCTATAACAATTCCTTACCGCTACAACAATTCCTTACCGCTATAACAATTCCTTACCGCTATAACAATTCCTTACCGCTATAACAATTCCTTACCGCTACAACAATTCCTTACCGCTATAACAATTCCTTACCGCTATAACAATTCCTTACCACTACAACAATTCCTTTCCGCTACAACAATTCCTTACCGCTATAACAATTCCTTACCGCTATAACAATTCCTTACCGCTATAACAATTCCTTACCACTACAACACTTCCTTACCATTACAAAATCTCCTCCGCCTCAACAACATTTCTCCTCCCAAGTAAAACTCTCGCTGCTTAAATAATAACTATCATGCATATGTAACCAAACAAAACTTGAAAAAAGCTTCGATGTTTTATTAATAGGTTATGTTAAAACCATAATAATATAATTTTGAACTCGTTTACAAAAAAGTGGCAATTTGTACCTTTTTTTGCAAGCTTTCGCAAATTCTCGCGGAATGGTGAACACGGGCACATATAACCCTAGTATTCAGCGGAACCCTGGTTGAGAATCTCTGCTGTAGACCTTAGACCAAAAGCAGTACACAAACTTTCCATTCCTAAAGTCTTCACAATTGAACTAGAAAAAAAGAGTGTGTCATTACCATCCCTCCTGACGCTTGGCGGGCGCCTGGGTGTAGGAGAAGCAGGGGGCATCTGGTAGAGCAGTAGGGGGGTTGCTGAAGGGGTCAGTGTGGGGCGGGGGGCGCCGCACACACGAACTACTGTGCCTGCAACAGAAACACAAGAATATACAACAGTTAATCCCTCTCCAAACAGGTACTGGCACACAACAACCACTCTCCAAACAGATACTGGCACACAAGAACCACTCTCCAAACAGGTACTGGCACACAACAACCACTCTCCAAACAGGTACTGGCACACAACAACCACTCCCCAAACAGGTACTGGCACACAACAACCACTCCCCAAACAGGTACTGGCACACAACAACCACTCTCCAAACAGGTACTGGCACACAACAACCACTCCCCAAACAGGTACTGGCACACAACAACCACTCCCCAAACAGGTACTGGCACACAACAACCACTCTCCAAACAGGTACTGGCACACAACAACCACTCTCCAAACAGGTACTGGCACACAACAACCACTCTCCAAACAGGTACTGGCACACAACAACCACTCTCCAAACAGGTACTGGCACACAACAAACACTCTCCAAGCAAGTACTGGCAAGTAGTGGTAATGACGGCTTAGCAGTAAGTTTGGGTTTTGGGCAAAACTTACCGTTGCGCAATCACTCAATTTTGGGTCCGAAATTCTGACCTAATTACTTACTTCTGCGCTGTCACCGTTTTTAGGGTTAATTTTTAAATTCTAAAAACGGTGTAAATAGGAGTCCCAATTCGTCTCCTCAGTATTAAGGAATTTTTATTGAGAACAAAATTTACTCTACTGTTCCCGTTTAAAGTAAAGTTAAGTTCAGACGAAGTCCATTTTCAGAGAATAAGGTCATTAGGAGTTTGATAAGTAATTCCCAGTATCAGATGTTCTTGGACCCTGCTCTATACGTATATAAGTGTATTTTCGCTACTAACAGTATATTTTCCCTGAAATTTAAAACGGGTATATTTCAGACGTATAAATAAAATAAAATAGAGTTATCACGCTCAGACTCTTGTCCCCTCCCCCCGGCCTTAGTTTATTCTTATAACTTCACTACTATCAGCCAAATTTCCCTGAAATTTAAAATAGACATATTTCAGACATAGTAAAGAAAGAAAATAGAGTTATCGAGTTATAGCTCTTGTTCCCCGACATTGTTCACTCTTATAACTTAACTACTATCATTCCAATTTCCTTGAAATTTAAAATAGGAATATTTTAGATTTAGTAAGAAACGAAAATAGTTACCGAGTCCCAGCTTTTGTCCTCCGCCTTAGTTTAGTCTTATAATTTTGCTTCTATCACCCCAATTTCCTCGAAATTTAAAGTAGGCATTATTCAAATATAGTTAAAAAATGAAAATAGTGTTACCAAGCTCCAGCTCCAACAGTCGGCCTTAGTTCACTCTTATATCTTTGCTACTAACAGTTCATTTTTTGCAAAATTTAAAACAATCATATTTCAGATGTAGTAAGAAAATAAAATATAGTTACCAAGATATAACTCCTGTCCTCCGCCTTAGTTCGCTCCTGTATTTTCGCTATTAACAGTTCAACCTCCTCCAGATTTGAACCTAGTTATTTCGGACGTAGTAAACAAGATAAAGTTAGCTACCAAGCTCTGGCTCTTGTCCTCCGCCTTAGTTCACTCTCATAACTTCGCTTATAACAGATCAATCCCGGCAAAATTTAAAACAGGTGTATTTTAGACTTAGTAAGAAAAAAAACAGTGTTACCGAGTTTCAGCTCATGTCCCCTGTCTTAGTTCCCTCTTGTATTTTCACTGTTAGCAGTTAAATTTCCTTAAGAATTAAAATATGGATATTTCAGACTCATTAAGAACAAATAAGATAGTTACAAAGCTCTGGCTTATGTCACCCTGCCTTAGTTCAATGTTCATGAAACTTATTATTTCTGAACAAGTAACTTAGCTCCCTCGCATTTATCAACATAAACATTCATCCCAGATTAAAGTACAAACTTATCTGTGTAGGTAAACATGAGTCATGACCTCTCCTTCAATACTCATGTGTGCTTATCTGTGCAAATACACGCACAGGTAGGGATAACTGCCCATAACAAGCCTATCATTGTAATTATTGTCAGCTCACGCCAAATAAAATAATCTCTCTCTCTCTCTCTCTCCATTCCCCCTCGTTTACACTACAGCTGCCTCCCCTTAATCATCTCACCCGTGCCCGCCCACTCGCTTAGCTCCTCCCTCACTCCCCCCACCCTTATCCCCCCCCCCCCGCATCTCACCCCCTTCCCCAACTCCACCCAAACCAGCCCCCTCCCCAGATCCCTTCTCAACTTTTCCCGCAAATTTTTTTAATTTGTTTTGCATCTCTCAGTTTACCCGTTCTACATCTATAGCTCTGTAATATTCTGTTATTATCTGTTCCGTGAGACGAAGTCTCATGGAACAATGTTTCTTGTAAAATAGCTATTTCTAGGCATTTTACTATATTTTGTCATGACCCAAGTGTAAACCCACAATGTCTCTATACTCTTTGCTTGTTCTTACATGTTCTCACAGCTCACTACACTTTCTTGCAAGTTTCATCCGCTCTTTACATATGTTTACATGTTCTCTGTACTTTTTGTTATACATTCTCCATGTTCTTAAATATTCACCAAATGTTCATTCCATATTTTTATGTTCTCCCAAGTTCACAGAATTTTCTTATATGTTCTCTAAACAACTTGTTACATTCTTACATGTTCTTTGCATTATTCATGATCTCTGCAAGTTCAATTCATGTTCTTTGCATGTTCTCTCTGTTCTTTTCATGTTCTTACATGTTCCATGTTTGTTTTTTAAACCAAATGTACAATTGTTTCTGTCAATCAGTAACTAGTTCATTGTTATGTATTATCAACAGCAATACTGTTTGAAAAAAAATTTTGTTGCAAATTATTTAGTTATTTACAAATTTATTTAGTTATTTACAAATTATTTATTAAAAAGTATTTATTTTAGTTACAAAATTATTTATTTATTTAGTTATTAACAAAATTAATTATTTATTTAGTTATTAACAAAATTAATTATTTATTTATTTAAAAATTATTCATTTCAAAGTACTTATTTATTTCAGAGTTTTTATTTTTAAAATACCATGACAATGTATTTCTCTTTATCAAATTAATATTTCCTAGTGTCACTGTTCTTAAACAAAGCTACACTTTGTGCAGTAACAAGTTTACTAAAACAATCGTTTCTTTACGTTTCTTAACTAAAATCACTCTTCACTCAACTGAATATAGTCAAGTGTAATATTTTTGCATCATTTCTTAACTAAAATAACTTCATTCGAAAAATAGTCAAGAGATTCTTCCAACACTTTTCTTAACTAACATTATGCTTTGTGGTGTAAGAAAAATTGTCAAGGGTAATTTCTTCATAATATTTCTAAACAAAAATTACTCTCCGAGACATCTTTACGCATTAAATGATACTCTCATAACATCTTTATGCTCCAATGATACTCTCTAAGACATCTTTCGCTCATTTTAAGACTCTCTCCAAGACATCTTCATGCTTCAAATAATACTCTTATACCCTCTTTATGTAAGATGGATACACTAAAAGCCATCAAGGTTACTCATAGAGAAATCAAAGATATACTCAGAGCCATCAAAGATAATCTAAAAAACATCAAGGATGCTCCTCGAAACATTTTTATACAACAAAGTTTCGTTCAAGAACATCTTCGCAGACATTAGGATACTTTCCAGGACACTAAGCCATTACTTCCAACATCTTAAGATAATCTTTTCATAACACAACACAGCTTATTTACAAATGCACTTTCAATAGTCAAGGATAACTTTTGTAAGTCATACGTAAACTACGGTTTGAATTAAATTTACTAAGACACATCATTATGTGGTCACACTCAACTTTAAGTATTATTTCAAACTAATCATGTACAACATTTCATATTATCTGTAACATTTCTTATTTATATAACTTCCATTAGGCAGAAGGTTTTCTCTGTCATATATATTATTAAGTTTTTTTTATTGAGATATGTCATGCAACGTGTTCAAACAATAAATTTTAGTAACTTTATATTATATGTCTGACAAAATTTTCTATCAACATAATACAAAGGTACATGTAACTTGCATAACTTACTTACTAAACTTATCTTACTTAACGTAACTTATTTAAAGCATCATCTTATTCTCTCTGAAACATCAACTCCTCATTTATTATTTATTTACCCGGACAACACTCTTTCACAGTTACAGATACAAACATATAAAAACTTACATGAAATACCCATGACCCAGACACTTTCACATAAATTGCATAAATACACAAAATATCCGTCACAATCTCATCTACACATACATTTACATTCGCAAATTAGCATAAACTTATTTAAATACAAAACAAACAAAACACAAACTCTTCCTTATATACGAAACAGGTCGAAACTTACACACATATAATTACATTCACAAATTTTTATACAACTTACACAAATGCTAATTTCAAAATTTTACTTGCACATACACACTTTCTAAACTTTACAATCTCTATTTTACATACAAATTCTTTACAAACCTATACAAATGCTTACAATCTCAATTACACTCCCGAACTTAAGCAAACTTAAACACTTTTACAAAACTTACTCAAATACTCAGTTCACTAACTTACAGAAACAAATACAGACTTTCACATGCACACATACTTTCAGTTCATTAACTTACTTTCTCAACCTTTCACAAGCTCTTTTGTATATACCAATTCTCTCAAACTTGCACATATTACATAAACTTAGACAAACTAGCACAACTCACAAACATCTTGTCCTCTAACCTAATCTCTTTCAGACCTTTGTGTATTTATTGCGTTTGATATAATTTGTTCTTATTCTTTATCATTCACCTAACCTTTCAGATGAGTTTATTATGTTGGGCATATTTTTGGGCAATATATTATCCTAACATTTTACAGATATAGTTTTTGTTTAAGTGCATTCATACATTTTCTCCTCTTTGTATGTTATGTTTAAATATTTGATTAAGATCCACCTTCTCTCCAAACCTCCCTTTCCCTCTCTCAATTTAATATCCCC